TATATATATAATTCAACAGCTCTGAGTGGAAAGAATTTGTAGTCTGTTTTAAATTATTAGGGTGGATACTCTTTTTTTTCTGATTTTAGGAAGGATATTTGTTTATCTAGGCATTTTTTATTCCCTGAACTATACACTTTCTTATTTGTGTACTGTTTTAACTTTTCCCCATATTTCTTCAATTTAAGAATATACTAATGGCAGTCGTAGTGCCTTCTATAACTTTGCTGCTCCAAAGTCATTTCAGATTCCTTGTACTAGTTCTTTTATTTGCCCAAATTCTCAGAATTGGATGTCAGTGTGCAATGCTCTTCATGACTACTTGAGTCATCTGACCCCAAAAGGTTTAAGAGCAGCAAGACCAAGGTCATTTCTACTTGAAAAAAAATTTTAATCTAGTCTCACAAAAAGTCAGGAATCCCTTCCAAGCAGTCTCATGACTCAGTGTGTCTTTATAGATGTGGATTCTCCCTCAGCTTCAGGTGAGGCCAGGATTCCTGGCTACCTAGTTCGCTATGACAATTCTCCCGATCAAAACAAGAGATGGATCATTAGTGTTGCAGATGAGATATCAGCATGTGACTCGTGCCTCCACTGTCACAGGGAAATGCTCTGTCCTCGTTCATATGATCTTGTATCCACCAAATAAGAGAAGGTTCATTGAATCATGAATTGGCGGCCATGCAATAGCACTGAGTGCTGTTCTTTCCTGTACAGGCCATAACTCACTGTGAGGCCTCTTTTGGTGTCTCCACACCTCAGTGGAGTCTTGATAGGTACTTTTTACTAGATGTCTAGTGAGAAAATGCACAAAATCAGACAGAGATCAGGAGGAGGTAAGAGCAGCATACACAGCAGAGGGTGTGGTAAGACCTGGCCAACCTAGGAAGGTCTCTCCTATCTGTGGTCAGAGCTCAGCTGGTTCCAAGGTCCACCAACAGAGGACATTTGGAATTCCCTGGCTCTGAGGACCATTTCTGTTAGGTGCAGGACAGGCTGAGTAAGCTGTCTGCAGGGCATGCCAAACAAAGTTGGCTGTAGGATGACCTGGCCGCTCAAACCCTCTGTCTGATTCTTTATCACCTGTTTGCTTCAAGCCCAAACGCCCAAGCCCCAGCTCAAGGCTGAGCACTTCGCCCCCCTGCTCAAGGCTGAACACATAGCCTGCCACTCAAGGCCGAGCACTTAACCCCCTTGTGTGCCAACAAGGCAGCTTGCAAACCCAGAGACCCTGTTAGATTTAGGCAGCACAGCAGAAGGGCTATAAAAGCCTTCCCCAGCTGCCCCCTCCCACTTCTCTCCTTCTTTCTTTTTTCTTTGTTGCACTGCTACAATAAAGATCTCTTGGTTGTTCTGAGTGTTGTGGTCACTGTTCTTTCAATTTCCAACATATAGTCTGATTTATCAATAATACTCAAACTTCTTTGGGGAAATCTACATCCCCCAGGAATATCGTCTTTTCATTGAATTTGTAATTAATTATCAAGTCACACATTTTCTGTTGTTGGAAAGGTACACTTGACTTGGATCTATGACAGACAAACATGCCCTTAATTGCATGTGTCTTCGAAGTTGAAAGGCAATAAACTATGTAACTCTATCCCATAATGTGACATCCCCCTGCTGCCCAGCTGGTCTTGAATGGAAGAGACTCTGCTCTGATACACATTTTGACAAAGACCAGGGAGCAATAATGGATTCCAGCAGAACTTTTGATTTTGGAAATGTAGGTTTCCATTCTGCTATTGATACTTGTAAATGTGAAATACTGGGAGAGTCTGTGGGCTTCGTGCAACCTCCTCTAAATAAAGTGATATACGGTGATCATCTATAAAATGGATACAAGTGTTGATCCTTACATCAAAATTCATCATGAATGCCCACACTCTCCACCAACTAGAGTTCCTGCCACTTGCTAGGAATTGGAAGGTGCCAGGTTAGAGGTAAGAACATTCAAGGTCTGGGCCTGAATGACCAGGAGCACTCTGACTGAGCTCAGCAGGGCAGACAGAAGGTTAACAAAGAGCTAGAAGCATTTGGGGGCGTTTGATAAGTCTGGGTAGCAACCCACAGCTCCTCTGCCTAGAACACCCTCAGCTGGGACAGGAAGGTTAGGGTACAGAAAGCCAGTGACTCTGCAGGGCTGTGCAAGCTGCTGGCACACAGATACGTGGCTGAGTCCCCCAGCTCCAAGGAGCTCATGTTCAGCTCAGAGTGATAGTCATCAAACTGCTGAGCTGAGAATCGATCAGGGAGGTTTCCCTTGTTTCTCTGCATCTTTTCAAAGTACTCAACAAGGAACTGAGGCCCCTGACCAAGAGCCTGCTGGTACCAGGACACACTTCTGTGTTCAGACATGGGATAGCACTTCAGAGTGCCCTTTCCTCCCTTTGCTCTGATTAGGTGTCTTGGGAACAGGATGATTTCAGCATCCACTGAACCTGGGGAGGAAGGAGACAGGAGTGAACACCTAACCCAAGGAGGAGTTTGATACAAAGCAACAAGAAAGGACTGTGGCTCCAGGGGCTGTCCCCTGTGCTCAGGACTCACCTGCTCCCAGGACACAAAGGGTGATGCAGCAGAGGAGCCTGGGTCCCCAGGCAGGGTCAGGAAGGACAGGTCTAAGCATCTTTGCCCTCAGGGTGCTGGTCTCCTGGGCTGAGAGCAGGCACTTGGCTCCTCCCTTTTCTCTGTTTGGAGGATTTGCTGTGACATCAGTGATGTCGCTCTTCTGATGCCAGTATGCTTGTGGGTTCAGCAGGTCTCCTGTAGCCCCTGGACATGCTCAGTTGGTGTAGTCCTTCCCCATTCTGTGGAGCTTCTGTGGGACAGGGGCAGCTGGCTGTGCTGATCAGGGCAGGCCAGGGTGTGGGGTGGAAGTCCATGCCCACACTCTCCAGCTTTCCTGGGAGTCAGGGGCTTCTCTCTCTCCACCTGAATTGTGGTGTGTGCTGCCCCCGTGGAGTCCAATCATATCCCCTGTCAAAGGAGCTCCCAGAGAATCTTGATTTACCAAGATGCAGTTCATGGTTCCGTACTCTGAGTCATTCACGTGCACTTCATGGGATGTGTGGAGAACACGATTCACCTGTCCTGGCTCATCAGGTGTTATCCCTAATGCAGTCCCCCAGCCAAGACCCCTGAGCCATCCCTCTCCCAGAAGCACTGGCTGCAGCTCAGTCAGTGGACCCCCAGTGCCCTCTAGTGGCCACTGTGCAGTGTTTAAGATGCAGCTGTAGGGATGCTAAGTAGGCTGTGGCTTTTTAATGAAGCCTCAGGAACTGCAGGACCCAGCAGAGCACTCACAGATTTGAGATTAACCTGCTATAGTCCCTGCTGTCATCTAGGAGTGAGAGAGAATAAATCAAGTTCCTTTATTCTTCTGAGAAATTGAATAAAATTCTAAATCTTACCAATTAATGTTGTAAGAAGGGAGAACCCTCCAGTCATTAGATGCCAATTTCTCTGGGAGTGGAAGGAACTTGGGCAAACCCAGGCAGTTCCTGGAGGGTGACAGTGGACTTCTATCCCATGTGAGCCTGTAAGCAGCTGGGACATAAGCCAACCAGCCCCAGGAACAAGAAACTGCCTCCCTACCTGTCTTCTTTCTTTTGAATATTCTGTTCTAATCTCTTTAACTTTGTTTTTCTTAAGATTGAGTTGATATTTTTCTTTATGATTGATGTGTAGGAATTCTTTATATTACCTCTATAATTTGTCCATTTTATGTAGATATAGGTGTGTAAATAACTCATAAGTATTAAGTATACACAGATATGTACTAAATGATCTCTTTTTTAGAATATCATTTTGATTTTGGTGAAGAATAAAGTAATCCTTGAGGGAGAGCCCGTTTTCTGCCTCTGTTAGGAATTTTGGCCTACGCATGATCATGAAGAAAACTAGGGAAACTTTCTTCCAGAAGCTTTAGACCCGAGTTCTCACATCACTGAGGACTTTGAAACACCTGATATTAACTTTTGTTTATGGCGAGGATCACTTCTGTGGAGGCTCATATTTTATGTGTTGTGCACCGTGGAGTCTTGGTCTACTGACTACTCAATTTTCATTATAGTGCAAAAGCAAACACACAATATAAAGGAATCAATGTGGCCTTTTTCCAGTAAACCTTTATTGGTACTGAAATTGGTATTTTGTATAATTTTCATAGGTCGTGCAATATTACTTTTAAAATGTTTTCAACAATTTAAAAGTGTAAAACAATCACTGTTTGCCTGTGGGCCATGTGAAAGCAAGCACAGGTCATATTTTGTCCTGAGTAATAGTTTGCCTGCGTCTGTCCTCCAGAATGAGATAAGAGCTGAGGTTCATTATATCTGCATGTCAAGATGCAGTCTGTCCAGTATTGTTTGTTGAAAAGACTGTTTTTTTTTAACCTTCTTTTAGTGATTAACTAGGGTCTAACATATGCATCTGTGACTTACTACAGTCTACCTGTAAAAATATTCTCTTTAACCATACATTTTACATAAATTTCCTTTATTTAGTGAAGGAAGTTTTGTATTATGGAGAGTTTGTTATAGTTTTTTGTTTTTTTTTTTTCAGAATAGATATTGAATTTAAATGAATGTTTCCTGAACATCTATAGATGCGATTATATGGCTATATTTTTTTATTTTTTTCTTTTTAGTTGAATGTAAATCAGTGCATTATTAAAGTCATGCCACTGGCTATGACATTTTATCCCTTTTAGATATTGTTGTACTCAATACACTGTCACTTTGAATGAATAATTGAAACTGTATTATTTCACATTTTTTGTTTATTTGTTTAGTATTTCTGACTTTGATGTCAGAGGAATGCTCATCTCAGAGGGATAGGAAATTATTACCTGTTCCTTAGTATCCCTTATTTCTGCTTTTGTGGCACCCTATCATCTTCAAGACATTTTCATTTTTATCCAGTATAACACACTTTCTACTTTTGATTTATTTTTGCCCTAGGAACATTTTTTAAAATGTTGTTTAATTTTGAAATATTTGGGTTTTTCCAGACACAGTTATTTGTGTAATTGAGTTCTAATATAGTCCCACTGGAGTCAGAGAATGCTTTACCTTCCTGGTAGGAGCCATAGTTTGACTGTTTTTTTTTGTTTTGTTTTGTTTTGTTCAAAGTTACAGTTGATGCTTTTTATTTGGGGCATTGAGACTATTTAGATTTGATGGGATTGTTGATTTGGTTAAATTCCTGTTTGCCATCTTGTATTTGTTTCCCATCTCTCCTTTGTTCTTTTGATTTTATATTAACTTTTGGATTAATTGAGCATTTACATAATTTACTTCTTGTTTTCTGGCTCATTAACTCTAACTCTGGGCCATTAATGACCATGTTAGTGGTCATTCCTGAGTTTGCAGTGTACATCTCTGTCTCAACAGTCTATCCTCCAATGACTGCACATAGGTTAGGAAAGCCTTACAATTGAATGGCATATAGTCATTAGCCCTCTTCCTTTCTTTATATCATTGATTTAAATTTCAACATATATTGCATATATTGCAAGACTTGTGCTGTGTTAGAATTGTTTTGGTAGATAGGAAATCATCCATTCAAACATTTCAAATTAAACTATGGACATTTGGGATCTCCTATTGCATACTATGCTACTTCAAGTTATTCTTACCTCACTTATATCCTTATTTTCTTTTGTCTTTCATTTTGAATTTCTTATTGTTGTATCTCCTAATGCATTCTCTTTCCTTCTGTGATGTCTAATCTGCTGTTCATTCCTCCAAGGTATTTTTCATCACTGACATTTATTTTTACTGCTTGATTTGGATCTTTTTTTTTTCTCCATTACTACAAAGCCTTGAACCTATGGGCTACAGTGATAATACTGTTTTCTTTATTTATTCTTTCAGTTTGTCACTGTTGAATTGGTTTCTATTGATTGATTTTTCTCCCCATTAAAGATCATATTTGCTCCTTCTTTGTGTGACTGGAATCTCTTTTTTCCATATTTGGGATTGGATCCAGGGGCACTTAACCAAATCCTAGCTTTTTAAATATTTTACTTAGAGACAGGGTCTCGCTAAGATTTTTAAGGACTCTTCATGTTGCTGAAGCTGGATTTGAACTCACGATCCTCCTGCCTCAGCTTCCTGAGCCATTGGGATTACAGACTTGTAACCACACTCGGCTCCAGAATCTTTGATTAGATGCCAAATGTTGTATATTTTATACATTTGGGTGATAGGTATCTCAGTATTGTTGTTAATATCTTAGCTTTGTTCTATGATGATCTTTAGTCACTTAGGAAAAACATTTTTAAAAGAAAAAGAAAATTCTCAATGAGCATGTTTTTCTTGAAGACTTTAGTAAGCCAATTCTAGACTATATATGAAAAATTTAAAACAGTCATCTAGAACCACTGAGAATAAATGAACAGATAAATGCAACATTGTGCAAGAACTGAATAGGTAGACAAATATAACAGACACCCAGAAAGCAGACCAACACATGCATAATGACTGATTTGTGACAAAAGTGTTATTACAGGGCAGTGAGGAATCCTTTAATAAGCCACATTGCTGAACCAGGGACTAACCACTGGATAACTATGTGGAAAAATATAACCTGATCCCTTCTTCACATATGAAGAATTAATTGCAGCTAGATTACAGATTTCAATTAAAGGACTGAAAATTTAAAGACTTTAGCATGAAAAATAAGAAAACATGATCATTTGAAAGTAGGCAACAATTTCCTAATCTTAATACAAAGTGATGACCAAAATACAAAATGATTATAAGAAACAGGTAAATATGGAAAGATATGGCTTAAGACCTTATACTTATCAAAATATCACACCATAAATATACATATACACCAGCCCAGTTATCTTTTGGATGTGAGATTCCTTCAAAATACCCTTGTGTTAGGCAATGAAGGAATGTTCAGAGGTGAAATGATTAGACTGTGTCACTGGATTGCTCTATTTGAAGGATTAATAATTTGAATGGATTACTGGATGGTAACTACAAGCAGGTGGGGCATGCCTGCAGGAAGTAAGTCAGTGGGAGTTTGCTTTGGGGGATTATATTCTGTCCCTGGTTCTTCTATAACTCTCTGCTTCCCATCTTCCATGAGCTGAACAGTTCTCCTCCACCACACACTTCTGCCATAATATTCTGACTCACTCAGGTCCAGAGAAATGTAATCAGTTGATCAGTTGGACTGAACCTCTAAACAGCAAGTCCAGAATAAGCTCTCCTCCTCTACGTTGTTTGTGTCATGCATTTTGATCACAGCAATGAAAAGTGAATTAAGACAATCCCATGAAAATATACAGTTAGCATACTAACACAGAGTTAAAACTTTAAAATGTGGGGCTGGAGTTGTAACTCAATGATACAGCACTTGCCTAGCATGTGTGAGGCACTGGGTTCAATTCTCAGCACTGCACATAAATAAATAAAATAAAGGTTCACTGACAACTAAAAAAATTAAAAAAAAAACAATTATAAAATGTTTAATGAGATATAAATGCCAACTCTTGTGATCACTACACGATGTATTTAAATTATTTAACTGCACCCTGTTAATATTTACAACTAAACTACTAAGAAAAATAGGTGAGTAACACAGAGTCAAAAGACTGGAAAAATAATCTACAGAAAGGGAGGTAGAAAGCCCCAGAGCAACAACTGAAACTCTTGTGCCCCTGTTGGGAGTGTAAATTGTTATAACCACTTTGAAAACCCCCAGGAGTCCCCCTTGGTGGATGCTACTACTGACTGTGTCTTTGAATCACTTCCATTTGACACCTTCTCAATTGGGGTTATGTTTTATGAAATCAAGCTGAATTTTGGTTCTATTTTGAAAGAAAGCTAGACTGAAGAAGAGAATTAAACTGAAAGAAATAGAA